GACTACCTTGAAGTGTAAACTTGTTTAATAAACCATATCTTTCATTTTCGATTTTTAATTCACGTAGTCCGGGAACTTTCCGGACAAACTGTGTAACATGCGCTAAACTACTGTTTAAAATCGATGGACCAGCCTATAACTGCAGAGCATNTATACTGGAATTCATGGAGAATAGACATCTGTTGCAAGCAGAAGGTGAAGTTTTTGTAAACGAGCGATGGTAGCAAAGAATGAAATATATTTGTGCGCTTTTTTGTACTGTACATAATATACTAAATAAAATATTAAATAAATGAGAAATTTATTCCTTCATGTCTTGTCCCAATACTGTGCTATGAGATAAAGAGAATTGTGCTGATATGTGCAATGCGATGATGCACTAAAAACGTGTAAGTTGCAAAGATATAAAATTACAATATGCATAAAGTAAACATTCGTTTTTTTTTGCTAATTAATCACAATTTCAATAGAGAAGGGGCTATCTTTTGTCCAATTCAATTGAAAGAAACAGTGGGGGCAGTAGTATTTAAGAGCTCNAAGTTCGCGTTTAACCATCAGTTTACAGGGATAAAAAAGAGAATTGTATATTCATCAGAATGGCTTGTATTCCGGAGAACTGTCAAGAAGAATATAGATTCGAATCTGTTTGATTAGCCAGTTTTAAAGATTGGCCATGCTCGTGGATAACACCGGAAAGACTGGCAGCAGCTGGATTCTATTACACGGGCGAAGAAGATAAGGTAAAATGTTTCGAATGTAAACTTGAAATAAGCAAATGGGAAACGAATGACAATCCACTGGCCGATCATCAACGGTGGTCCAGACGATGTCGATTTGTTGAAAACTTATCCTACGGCAACGTAGCCATTTGTGTGGATTCTAGCACAATTCCGAAAAATATGGACGAAGCAGACGAGAAATCCACGTGTTTTATGTCCGTTTCCGATTTGGATGATGCTACCGAGAACATTGGAATATTAAACAAAATATTGTCGAAACCGAAATATCCACAATTTGGCACTTATGAAGCAAGAATCAATACATTTGAAGCATGGCCAAAATCATCAAAACAAACAAAACAAGATCTTGCAAATGCTGGATTTTATTACACGGGGAGAGATGATCAGACGTTGTGTTACTATTGCGGAGGAGAATTGAGAGATTGGAATCCAGAAGATGTTTCCTGGGAGCAACATGCAAAGTGGTTTGAATACTGTCCGTTTCTAATTGTTTGCAAAGGACGCGATTACATAAACACAGTCATCAACGGAACATATACACGGAACAATTCAATTAATTCATCCGAAGAAATACAAGAAGCAGATGAGAAATCGGACGAAGATACTAGCATATTGCAGCAGAATGTGCTACTTTTTATTGTTATAGTAGTTTTATATGTTGTTATATTTGTATTACATTTTTACTTATAATATCTTACTTCTAATGTTTTATTTACAGTTTATAATATACGCATAATAAATATGTATACTTATATAATGCTTATTTTTATAACGTTGTGTATATATTAGTGTATAATAAATGAATTAATTTATACAAATAATTTCTTTATTATTGCAACCTGTTGTCTAATCCAACTCTGATTTTCTCTCGATACACAGAACTAGATTAAGTAATAAAATATGTATACTTTGTCATTGTTATTTCTTGCCAACAACTTTTGCAACTTACAATTAGTCATATTCGTCTTGATTTGCACTGCGTTCTACACATATGATATGAAATTGCAATTCTACAACTGTCTCGTCTTACTCGCTTCACTTCGCACCGTGTTCCGAAACATAATATAATCACACATATATGTGTAAGAATATGTCGAACGAAACATAATCAATCCACGTTTAATCCCGATTGTACCATGTTCAATAATACTTGAACCGTGTGTAACCACAATTAAACCGCAAAACAAACCACGTTCAACCTCGGTCGTATTATAATTAAACCATTTTCAACTATAATCGAACCACGTTTAACCAACATCGAACCACGTTCAACCATAATCAAACTACGTTCAACCATAATTGAACCATAAACAAACCACGTTCAACCATAATTGAACCACGTTCAACTATAATCGAACCATAAACAAACCGCGTTCAGTTATAAAACCATGTTCAACCGCGTTAATTTATATAAACATATGCTATGGAGGAGAAGGATAGTAAATGTACAAAGTTGTTTTGTATAACAGTTTTGTATAACAGTTTATTGTCGTTTAGACCACCAATTAAATATTGTAAATACATTTTGTAATGCACAATGTTTCACATGTTTTTCACATCGTAGACAATTCAATACATTCAATTTATTGAAAGAAGCAATATCGTCGTAATCAGCATTCAATGTTTTAATAATTAATCCATGTCGTACGTCACTATCAAGAATATCAGCTAGCCAGTTACATTTTTCGGGACCTTTAACATAGACGAGTGAAGACGCGTCGTCATCATTTTCTGCGGTGCCGCAAATAGCTGTTGTAATCAAATTCTTTGCTCTGCGGTATGCAACACTTCCATCCTTCCAACGCAGACCATGATGATACATCATCAGCCAAGAATGCTGCTGATCTGTCTGATCTTGCGAGTAGACTCCACGGGAAGGGACTTCCAAAAATGTAATGCGAGAGAACAGTGCCCTTTCGCAATACCGCTACTTCCTTGACAATAAATCTTTTTCCGACTACAAATCCTTGNAGGTCNACAAACGTCGGCACAANCATGTTGACGTAATCGTGTGACCAACAAAAGACAAATGCTATCTATCGTAAAGTACTTTCGCTCTTAAACGATTTTCAGATTATAGAGGGGAGAAGCGCTGATGTTGCAATTTATGTAATTTTGCGCACTACGTTGGTTAACGGATTGTATTCAATAACACGATCGTGCAAAATGAGACAATAGGCTGTAGTATTTGCTGGTATATTTTTTTTGCAATCGAATTCAATTCGCACATCGACGGTTGCACTTTTGACCGCCTCGTTTTGACGCAAACAATCAATGACCACTAAAGGACCACATTGCAGAAAGTTGGAAATCGTGAGAAACGGTACGACAACACCACATCCGTAATACGCTTTACGGAAATGTGTGTACATATGGTACAGAACGGCATTTGTATCATCTAAATTGACGATACCATTCTCGTTATGACGTACTACGTTCGGTAAGGTATTACGCATAAAAACACCTCTAAAGAAAGGTATGCGCATGCGCTTAGCTAGCTGTTCCAACTGCATATTTGTTGTTAAACCTGTAGGTACTTTTAATGTCTTTTCAGCGTTTTTTTTTCTTCTTCTTTGAAAGTCCCCGTCCGTACGGAGTCAGATAAATTCCCCGACTTTCCATCGCGTGATTATGACGCTGCATTTCTTCTTCTAGAGCTGTCGCTGCGCAGCTCTTGTATCATTTACCGTTTTTGCAACTCCCGCCGCTCCACCAACGAGTGCATCGAGAGCACCCAGCAGTGGTAGGACCGGTAACACACTACCGCGTTTAGCAATCGGAAGTATTCGCTTCCTTTTTGCTGACTTGCTTTTCTTTTTCAAACCTATGCCGAGGTTTGTCTTTGTTTTCATAGCCGCCCACACGGCGGTCGCAGCGGCTTTCTCACCGAGACTCGAGTTTGCCGCTGTAATGCGATCGCGCGCCTTTGTAGCGAGTATCTTATCAGCCACGTGTCGATCAGCGAGTTCGTTGCTTCGCGAATAAGCTATATTGTGTTCACGGCAAGCCGCGTCTAATGGATTAATTCCCCGATCGCCTCTAGCTAATCGTTTCTCTAAACGCGTTCCCGGGCCACAAAATTGGTAACCAGGAATATGTAATTCAACGGGAAGAGCGTTTATCACGCGATTTAACAATCCACGACCTGACATAGATTACAACATACGTTTGACATCAGTGGTCTTCTGAGTCGACTGAGTAGAAATGCTCGACGCGTCACTATAAATAGGTGCTACTTGTTATCGCAAGACAGTTGCAAAGAAACCATGCAGTTTGTGCGGCAACCTAAGGTAATCAAAGTAACTAATTTCGACAGCAAAACTCGACAAATGTCCGACAAAAAAATACGCAGACATGGAATAATGCTACCGGTTACTATACGCGGTGTTGTGTGCGGTCCTTCGAATTGTGGCAAGACAAACCTAGTGTTAAGCTTGCTTGAAAGTCCACACGGTGTACGCTTTGAGAACGTGTACGTGTATTCAAAGTTGTTGCAACAACCAAAATATCAATATCTAGAGAGTGCACTTTCATCAGTAGATAAAATTGGTTACTTTACCTTTTCTAATAATAGCGATGTGATTCCGCCGAATGAAGCACTTCCAAATTCCATTTTTATCTTTGATGACGTGGCATGTGACAAGCAAGATACGATACGAGAATATTTTGCAATGGGTCGTCACTCGAGTGTCGACTGTTTCTATCTCTGTCAGACGTACGCGAGGATACCGAAGCATCTTATACGTGACAATGCAAATCTGATAATCAAGAGGCACGGTAGTGCCTCGCGCCAAGTTCACGCGCAACGAAGTTGCGTCGAACTGCGCGAGCACACTGTGCCTCTTATATACGCGAGATTCAGGCATTTCAGTGAAGGGGAGAGTTGTAATCAGTCATTTCTTAACAACAACTGAACCGATCGATTTCTTTTTGGACTCGTTCGATTCGCGTTAAAAAAATGAAGAAAAAAGTATTCTTGCGTTTTTTTCGTTTGTAGCTTCTGAACGGAGATAATGGAAGATAGACGAAAATGTGTGTGAAATTTATTATGCCGGTTTGTGTCCGGACCAAGAATGCGTGCCCGAATGTGTGCCGCATCTCTTCGTGCTTCTAAGAGATGGCGGTATGAGCGCGAACGAAAAAAAAGGACAAGAATTGTAATATGTGATGAGAGAGAGAGAGAGAGAGAGAGAGAGAGAGAGAGCGAGCGAGAGAGAGAGAGAAAGAGAGAGAGAGAGAGAGAGAAAGAGCACAATATAATAATACTTCGCGTCATACCACCTATGTCCATCACCCTTAATTCGGTGATTGGAAAGTTCCTGAAAACGCGGTTTTACAATAAAGCTTATGACGAATATACGCATTTGACTTATTTTAATATTCTACATTTAACGATATATAGTCCCTTTCGCAAATCGCGGATATCTCGAGAACCAGAAAAGATAGCTTGAAACTAATTTTGCAGGTACTTTCAATCGGCTACTCTGCGATTTATGATAAAAAGTGAAAGTTAACAAATTGAATATTTCGAGAACGGTACAAGGTAGAGCAAAATAGTTTTCGGATCTCGTTTTGTATTAGTTAGATGCAAAATACCACGTAATAAAAGTTTAATAATTTTTATTATTTAAACATTTGATTGTTAAAAACAAAACCTAGAATGTTCAAAACGGGCTGGTATTTTGCAGTTTGGTGTGCTGAGAATTATAGCGTAAATCGTTTTTCTCTATCTCCTTTAGTTTGTTAGTTATTAATTTTGCAACTAACTGTGATGCTATGTGGTTGCGACTTAAGGGTGATAACTTGTCGACGTTG